AGTTCAATCCCATGTTGCAGCCTATTCACAAGCAACTGTTCCAAGCCAACCACCCCTAGAGCCAGATCAGAAAGTGAACACAGATCCGGCATGGCCTTCAGCAGTACCTGCAGCAACCACACCTCAATTCAGTGCGGTCGCCTGTGGGGAAGCATCAGTTCCGAAACGATCATTCTCAGAACCAAATGTGAAGGCGTATGTGGATCCGCCACAACCTTGTGTTGCTGCACAAGCTTATTCAGACATCACAGCGATACCCGCAGCAACTAAACCTGATCCAACTGAAGGGCACGTAGTATTGCCTTCCAACAATTCGAAGCAACCAGCTTTGGAAGCAACTCCGGAAGTCACAGCAGATCCTCCAGAGACACATTCACACACCAAAACAGCTCCGGGGGCAGTCAAACCACCTTCCTTTCAAGTTGCTGTACCAGACCCTGCGAAGGCAACTCAAGAGCCTGCAAAACCACCAGTCAAGGAGGCAGCATATCCTGCAGCCCCTTTATGCCTTGAACTGCCCAGACCCAAATTCCTCCAGCGGTCACGCTCCGCTCCAACACCCAGACCGAGGCTGGCCACACCAGCCAGAGTGAAGTCAACCAAGGGACAGATGACATCCACCATGGGAGGGCCTTGGGTGACAGTGCCGAAAGGGCGTTGGGAATGGGTCGTGGCGAACAGGAACACCCCTGGACCTGGGTCCTACAACCTGGAACACCCAGGTATACTAGGACGAATTCCTGGCCGGGAACCTGGATACCCGCAGCTCAAGCGGAACCCAGAAGTACGTACCTGACAGGAGGTTGGGAGACAAGATGAGAGCAGAGAGAAGACGTTGCCTACGTCCATATAATATCCCACAAAGTTTGGGACACGAAGTGAGTAAAGATGAGTCAGGTATGAAACGCTCCTTTTCGTTTAGATTATATCAGCAAGTGTTTTTTTGTTGCATTTTGTTGCATGGTTGTTTGCTTGTGAAGTATCTAAGATCAACATGCATCTACATATTGGACCGATTTGAACCAAAGACTCACTTCTCTTCGAAGCAGAGCCACAAGAGCCACACCTGCAAGATAAATCAAGAATTGGCCGCAGCTTAGGTGCTGCGTCCGCATGTGGGCCACCGGGCCACCCTTCGGGAGCTTTAAGAGAGAGCCACACGACAATTTGGAGAAATTTGGGCAAGGCAACAACTTCCAAGAAGCGAGTGGTGCCTTGATAGACAAGTTCGCTAGCTCGACAAGAAAACAGCACTTCCTTGCACTTCGGGAGATGGCATCAAATGAGTGTCCCATCATCTCTGGAAAAACATGTCCGAGACATGTTTTCTATGTTTTTCTACCATCCGTCATTGTGAACCGCACAGTTGTTGTGGCCCCGAGGTCCCGACGCTGTGAAGTTGAGTCCTGCAGCATCCTGCAGCCAGGGATGCTCAACGTCACAACCCAAGCATCTCAACAGAAAGTCGACTGCACAAGCGCTTCGGTTGGCATCCTTTCGAACATTGGGAAACCATGTGTTTGTGTGTGTGTGTGTGCATCCACACCCGTGAGAAGGGTTGAGTATCATAGACACGAGTCATGAGCATTTTTCATGATGCCTTTGCTGTCGTATTTGACTCAAGTTGTTTCACGCCTTAAAATGTCAATGTAGAGTTAGGATTCGTCAAGCATGCTGTTTGGACAAAATGATCCGCAGCAAACCCCATGTCACTAGCCTCCAGAAGAGAGGCATTTTGGCTTTGTTTGATCAACTGGATGGCCTTTGCATGTGCTACCTGGAGTCTCGTCACGAAAGACATGGGTCCGTCTCCACGTTCAAAGCATGCAGCTTCTTGGGACAATACACGGCAGAGCTTTTGGATTTCTGCCGGAAGCGGCGAAGGCCTTCAGCAAGATCTTTGGACCTTTGAGATCAAAAGCAATCAATGGACACGGATTTCTGATACTTCTCAGGGTCCTGGCAGGCGTCAAGATCACATTTCCATTTGGGACCCTGAGGGACAGGCCTTTTGGATTCATGGCGGTTACGACGGAAGCGATTTCCTCAAAGACCTTTGGAAGTATTCCCTTCATTCCATGAGTTGGACTGTTATGGGAGGAAGCTCAGGCTCCAATCCTTCTGGTCGGAGCGAGCACGTGGCAGTGTGGGATAGTGATGGTGGCATCCTGTGGATTCATGGTGGATTTGACGGAGCAAAACTGCATCAGGACCTTTGGAAGTTTGACTCCCGGATTTTGAGCAGTTGGATTAGGATCCCGCATCTTAATCCACCATCTCCACGAGCTCAGCATGTAGCTGCATGGGATTCTACCAATGTGGCGATGTGGGTTCATGGTGGATATGATGGAAGTCTCTTTCTCAGAAGCTGGCTTGTTAGTGAGTCTATGAGTTTGTAGGTATTGACCTTGCTTCTGAATTCAAACCTCTTAGAGGGATTTCATCAAGCCCTTTCAATAATTAAAGAAAGGCGTTTTAGCCATTGGTGGTATCTCCCAAGAACCAACTGGGATAAGTCATCCCGGCTTTATTCACTAGCGCTGAACAGACAGTGAATGCCACCATGCAGCCCCCATTTTCAGGGGAATTACTGTATTATAGGGTCTCCCTCGATCTATTCATAGAGGAATCTATCGTAACAGACTAGTTGAAGGACCTTTCCAGCAAAAGGGAATCCGGAATCCAGAAGACCATTCCGTTTGGCTGCAGTTGATGTTTGACATGATATCCCAATAGATGTCTCACTTGTTATGTTTTTTGAATGCTCCCTAGAAATTTGTCCCGCTTGAAGTGTCGCTGAACAGGCAACGAGACAACTTTGTCCAAATTCACAGATATTGACAGTGTGTTCAAATTTGGGATTCAAGAGGAAGCAACCAACGATTGGGAGCAAGCTGCAAGGCAAGCAGGAAACTGGACGACTGCCATTCATGAACTTAGAGACAGGCCAGGAGCAGGACAGAACAGACAGTAATCATGGCAAGAAGTGTTTGCACATTGGGATGAGAAAAACTCCATCACAGCTCCTTCCTTTCATTATCGCACTCCAGACGAAAATGACTGAAGAAACCCAAGGAGATAGGAGGACGGAGTGATTCGGAAATGAAAACAAAGACAAACAGCGGGTGACAAACGGGAGAGAGGAAGACCATAAGTGAGCGCATAGATTAGATGGGACAGGGAGAAGAGAAGAATCTTTTCTGGGTTGATTACGGTCGCGGTGGTATTTGCGATGCTATCCACACTTCCTTTTCCCATCTGATAACGTGGAGATTGCTATAAAAAAACAAAAAAAACATCCGCCACTGATTCACGCATATTCACGCCGCACGCTGCGCCATACAAGAGATTCTCGGAAGTCGCAGAGAGCAAGTTAAAACTATGGTTCGGTGCGATATACACGATTGAAGCGACTTCCACAGACAGTAAGTGACGACGCATTCAGATTCGATCAGCCATTTGCCACCTTTTGAGGGACAGAAAGTGAGGTAGTAGGTTCCAGGCTTCTTGATGAGCTACGTCGCACAACAACGCATGTCTCCGTAGGTGTCACTTTGCAGCCTTGTGCAGATTGTGCCATCACTCACATAAGAATTTCTGAAAGCCGCTGGATATACAGGCCCCCTACGAGAGCAGCACAGAACATTGTTCGAGTAAACTGGAAGCCAAATACTGATACTGTCAACCAATGGAGTTAAGAGTCTTGAGTCCAGGCCTAGCCCTATGATTCTTTGATAGGTCTCTTGTCACTGTATGGAAGACTCCACCAGATATTTGCATTTATACCTTAATCTTGAGCCGATGTCCTCAACCACAGAACACTGCCCGTTGTGTACTGCAATAGATACCCGTGCGCAAAAGCAATTTAATTTTCCTGCATTGGAACTGTTGCGATCACTGCACTAAACTGCCATACAGACATTGGAATAGACTGATAACCTTTCATGAATGTGTGTGCCTTTACCAACATATACCTAGATCAGGTCACGAAAGGTAGCCCTTTATGGGATACTTTGAGTTTGACTTGCGAAGCAAGTGTCGGCGAGTCCGGGTCTAATAATTGATCATTCAATTCAACCCCCCCCCTTCTATTGATTTTTCAATACAGACCCCCCCCCTTGGAATTGATTTTTCAATACAGACCCCCCCCCCTCTAAATTCAATTTTCTCATTCTGTCCTGGAGAACGTCTGCGTGAGCGTCTCATCTCTCCTGGAGAACGTCTTCGTCAGCCTCTCATGATTTCAGGATGGTTGAAACCCTCTTGAACATTCAAAAAGAGTGCATACGAAACTCTAATCACGAAAGGTGTTCCCCGAGGGGATACATACCTAGAGTTTGTTTTGTGAACCACGTCAATTCTCTCCTGGGGAATGTCTTCGTGAGCCTCTTCTGCTTTCAGGATAGTTTAAATCCTATGATGCTCCGATTCAATGCTCACCGATGATCTGAGCCATGGGGCAACGTTGTTTTCCTAAGAATCTTTCTGAACATTTCGAGAGCATATGAGCAACGGCTTCTATTTGCGGTAGTGGTGATTAGTCTAGGGGCATTCCTTTTCTACAGCCCAATGTCAGAGTTAGTTGGCGAAACGAGGTAGGAACACCATGTCGAATCTTGCCTTTTTGTTCCTGCCTCTCGCCTTCTCTTCTTTTCCCGCTGTCCTACCTTTCGTGTCTCCCTCCTCTCAAGTCGACCTCACCAAGCGTGAACTCACCACAAGAGGCACGACCCCGCGCTGAGCTATGCCACTGCAGCCCCCAAATGTTTGGCAACGATATACTAAGGGAACTTGTGGCTACCCCCACCCACCCTTAAGCCACTTGCCAAACGCTGCTTGGTCTGTCATGGTGTGGATAGGACAGTCATCCCAAGACTTTGACGCAGATCAGTTTGCAGGTTTGACAGGAGCACACATAGAATAGAAGGCTGCCAAACAATATCAAGATCTGAACTAATGGCAGTACTTTGGATCCTTGACTTGACAAGCCGGGATTCCCCTAAATTTACACCAGTTGTGTTATAACATTGTAATTATGCACTCACAGAGTACACAGATTCCATTGCCTGCTACAGGCTGACTTTCGTTTACCTTTGCATGCTGGACATAAAATTGCAACCCTGATTTAGTTCAATCCTTCTACAGGCATGGAAATCAAGGTTGACATCCACAAAGATAAATCTCAGGCTCATCCTCATGATGCCACAAGGTGGGATGATCTTCGTGCAGTGCAAGATATATTGTGTGTGTGCCGATGACGCTGCAGTTCAAATGTACACTGCATGCATTTTTTTGATGATCAAATCCTGCCTCGTCTTGAGAATTCGACATCCCACCATAAGATCCTCCGCTTCCACCAGATCGTCCGCCCTCCGCATATGCTGGTCTTTGAAGCATGTAAAATTGGGGAGATGCCTTTTAGCGTCCTCTGGCCAAGGCAGTATGGACATGCTTTCCACACCTGACCTATCATGGCCCCCTGGCAGGTATCAGCCCACCAAGATGTCAAGGGTGTCAGTTCGATCGAATTAGCAAGTTCTTTCACAAGCACAACGGGATTTATCTTCTGAACCATGCCGCATGCCCAATTGACAGACCGGAAAATGAACATATTGAACTGAACCGGACTGGAGAACAGCGATGAATTTGCCGTCACGTCGCTGTAACCCTGCGAGTTGTTGTACAAAACCTCCAAACACATTTATCACCCTCCAACTTTTTTTTTAATACATCCTTTTTTTTAAAATAGGCCGCTCCGCCCCCTGCCTACTTGATTAAGTAACGGACTCTAGTAAGCTACTAGGTAGGACGCAGAGTGCGCTCGCACTATGCATTTGGTTTCTAGATTTCTTTGGGATTTTTAGGGAAGCTTATTAACTTATAGATCATAAATCATCATAAGTCTAATTTCCGAAGTCTCCTTTCTCTAAGAACCGGGTAAGGAACTCGGTTCTGCTATATCGTTCCGACCCATTCTTCCGGAATCACAACATAGAAAACTATCGCGATCCTTGATCCTTGACGGTTGCGTGCATTGAAGCATCTCTGCACTTGCGTCAAGTTCCCCTAAGCGTACATGTTACATTTCATTCACCGCCTTGTGTTCATGTTAAGAACACTGCGTAGCGCAGTACCGCCGTTGGATACTGACCCCTGCTCAGTCTTGTAATATCTTGTAATTGCTCCCATGAAGCTACCAGCTACCCTTTTAACATCCTTTATCACCTGGTGGAATAGCAGGACCGTTCGTCGATATGTCCATCCAAAGAGGGATAGAACCACCATGCCTATTCGCAATAGATTCAGTTGAATTCATTCGCATGTTTTTTCAATATCTACTCCAATTGTCTCTATATATGCAAATCGAATTCAGACAGTGACACTGACAGTAATTCAAATTGTCGAGTCTCTTTTTCGTAAACTCCGGCGCGAGATACTCAGCATTTTGTCACATTTGTGTGCATGTTGATGCAGTAAAGTCTACCACACATGCTCACACTGGGCAAGGGATACGTAGGCTGGGACATGGTGGATTAGCATCCCTGGATAGAGTACTCATTAGTACATAATAGTACACACTACCTGCTTGTGTTCAAGCAAGTTGAAGTCATGATGGAATTTGTTTGTCGAAGCTTATTATATAAATGACGAGCTTTATCTGATATCTCATGGATTTTATCCAATCATGTTTTGTTCATTTTCCTTCGAAAACAATAATAGGGAACGGCCAAAAAACTCTAGAGTTGCAGAAGAGTGCTAAACCTTGCGAAACCATACAAACGGTCCAATCCAAAAACACATTTCTAAGACATATTGCATGTAGCCCATTCGCCAGCTTGCATACACATGTGTAGCTAGATGTACTACGACCCTTGGGTGGGTAAAGAGCTACCTGGCTAGGTTTGTGCAGCGACTTATGGAAGTTTGATGGCAACACCTACCGCTGGGATCGGATCTCAAACAGTGGTCCTTCTGCCAGGGCGTACCATGCAGCTGCGTGGGACCCCATGAATCTGGCGCTTTGGATTCACGGTGGCTTTGATGGTGTTGCTCGCCGAGACCTTTGGAGATTCAGCACCTTGAGCCACACATGGGACCTCATGGCAAACGAAGGGCCTTCGCCACGCTACAATCACGTGGCGGCGTGGGATGTGATCAGCAGCTCCTTTTGGGTGCACGGCGGTTACCATGGAATAGTGGAGCGAGATCTTTGGAAGTTTGATGTTACCTCCACAAGCACAACCAGCAGCAGATCTTGGACGAGTACTTCCAGTGTCAGCACCAGCACCAGCACAACGACCATGTCCAGTTCTGTATCTACAACCACTAAGACTTCCAGTGTCAGCACCAGCACCAGCACAACAACCGTATCCAGTTCAATATCCAAAAGCACATTCTCCACAACATCGAGCATCTCAACTTCTTTCACCAGTACCACCACTACTATTTCCAGCAGCACAACAGTCTCAGGTACTTTCAGCAGCACAACAAGCACCTCCAAAAGTCTCACTAAATCTACTTCGACCTCTATTAGCATAACTACTAGAACAAGAACAAACACAGTAACAACTTCAAGCAGTGTCTCACGCACAGAAACCCAAACTTTGACTTCGACCAGCACCACCGCCACTTCAGCCACTAGCTCAAGCTCAGTCACAAGTTTGACCACCAGTTCCGTCACCAAGACCACGGCAAGCTCCACAAGCAGCACGTTCACAAGATCAACCAGTACTAGCAGCACTTTCACCACAACGACTAGTCCTGGAGATGCCTCCGGCCTCCTCCTTCCCAAAGTGCTTCTCTCAGCACTTGGAGCTGTCGCAGTGCTTGCAGTTTGTATCCTGTTTGCTTGTTGTGCATGGAAGCACCGCAGCTTCCATCAAGCCACCGTCCTACCAGCGCCAGCGCCACCCAAATATCCCCACAACACACAATTGCTTTTTGCACCACTCTCACCTCGACCTTTGCATTTTGCACCATCCTTTCCTCGACTTTGCCTACTCTTACCAGATCTGAGGCAAAGCCAGATTGGTGCTCCAAGGATAGACCCTCAAGACTTTACTGTGCCGCTCCCACCAGATGTGTGCATCCACATTTATACACCAGCCACACGTCCGAGACAAGCCAGACCTCGTTTGCCAAAGAAGCGACATCGTCGGTCCCTGGCATTGACCATGGCACCGCCCTTTTTGACAACTCCCAGCGATTCAACGGAGAGAAGATCTTCAACGGTCGTGGAGTCCTTGAGACATTGTGCTTCCCCACAATTGCTGATTGAACGAATTTTGACATCAGTGTCGCACCCATCAATCGATGTGACGCTCCCAGACCTGCAAAAATATCTCCAGCGAGCGAACAACAGAGGCACAGTGCAAGTATTGCCCTCAGCAGCACTGACATTCACTGTCAAACGATCAACTCCAGCACCAAGTGTTCGGCCAGAAGGAGCAAGCCGCTGCTTGCTGGCAAAGGATTCTTTCCCACAACGGCACCCCACACTGGCCATGACCATGACAGCACCTGTTCTGCAAACTCCAGGCACAAGCTCTAGGGCCAGTGCAACCACCCAGAGGGAACAACCACTGCTAGACTTGCGTCCACAAGCATTGCAGAGCTACAAGGGTTCTGTACAGACTTGCTCACCACTCACGTTTGTGCGACCGAGTAGACTGGGAAGTCCAGAGACTCCACGGTCGAGGACACCGGATCCCAAGTCCAGACCGACCGATCCAACGGATCCGGATCCGGATCCGCCGGGACTCCATCGCCGGACCGATCACGTCGGGACCGAAGAGATTCGTTTTTGTGCTCAGCCAAGGTTTCCCAGAATTCAATCTTCAACATATTCAACATCAAGACCAACGCCTCCAAGACCAACCTGCGCCGCTCCAGCCCTTCGGACACCAACTACACCTTTGGTGCTCTTGCCATGCTCAAAAAGCACAGAGAGGAAGTTGACTTCAAGGGCACTTTCGCGTCGTCGCTAACTTCCCGCAGAATCTGCTGGCCATTTCGGATTCGTACTTCGGTGGGTCCAGCGGCTTCTGAGCACCGTCTGAACGGATGCAAAGTCATCATCCGAAAGGTCTTCCAGTCCGGCTAACACAACCGAACATCCCGTCATGTAAATAGTGCAAATGACTTTGGAAGACGCTTTCCAAAATGGAGAGCTGTCTCTTAAGATAAAAGCAAAAGCCGTTAAGCCGTTGTGACCTCGTGGTACACATTCAATTTTTCTGGAATTGAAGTCAAAGTCATACAGTACAATGCAGCATGTTTTTGCAGCATGTTTAACAGTTCAACAGCTAAGGAGATGTATGATGTATGCAGAAAAGGACTCCAAGGCCACCCAGAAAACAGTACAGTACTGTAAGCTGTGGAAGAAATTCACCACCATCACATGTACAATACATGACATGTCCAAGTATGATTCCTAGAAACAGATTAACTTTCCATCCATATTTCTTTGTTGCGGCTAGACTTGCCGTTCACTTGAGAGTCTCAGGCGAAGCTTTTGCATCGGCTGCAAGGCCAGGAGAACGCCTGACAGAACACACCTCAGCTTTGCCAGGATCAAAAAGCTATGTTCTTTTGCTTCAGATTTTTCAGGTGGCTAGGGCTTTCAGAGTTGATCATCTTGACTCTTGACTTACATATTGAGGAAGAACGACTTGTATTTATCTTATTTCATGCATAGACTTTGCGATCTGTTGCGAGCTGTTTCACTGCTCAAATGATAAAAAGGTAATGATTGGGACGCACTTCAAATTTGTGTTGCAGAGAAGGCAAATCCAAAAGGTTTCACTTCTCGTCGTGATACAACATGATCAAAGGGCTGTGGCTTCTTTGCCTCAATCAGCTCTTTGTTGTATCACAGACCACCTGGAGCCTCGTCGACAACGGTGGGCCATCTGCACGCTCAGTGCATGCAGCAACATCGGACACGCTCGGTTCAGATGCTCTCATTTGGGTGCATGGCGGAAGTGGAGATGCTCTCATCAAGGATCTGTGGACATACAATGTGCCCACAAGATCTTGGACACTCATTTCTCAAAGCAGTGTCTCGCCTTCAGAACGCAAAGACCATGTGATTGCATGGGATCCAATTGAGGGTGCTCTTTGGATTCACGGCGGCTCTGATGGTAGTAAATACCTCATGGATTTGTGGAAGCGAGATTCGGGCAACAGTTCCTGGACTTTGCTCGCTAACAGTTCGGTAGACGGCCCCAGCGCACGCAGTGACCATGTGGCTGTTTGGGACTCTGCTAGTTCTGCACTGTGGATTCATGGTGGATATGACGGTGTGACTCTGAGGCAAGACATTTGGAAATTTGATTCTCAAGGGAGCAACTGGGAACGCATTGTGGACATTGATCCGCCTTCTGCGAGAGCTTATCACGTGGCTGTTTGGGATGAAAGAAAGTCCGCTCTTTGGATACATGGCGGATATGATGGAAGCCCTTTGCCAGAAAAGGTGGTGGAGAACGGGCCAGTAGAGCCCAGTAGATCCCAACGAAACTTTTCGTGCACAGAGAGACAATACAATTCAACCATATTCAACCTATATTACCAAACTTGAGGCTCAGAGAAACGCCAGTCCAGGCTGGTCCTTCCGAGAGTGGAAGGACTGAAAGGTTATGCGTGGCAGGTAGCCGGTCTTAATCAGGATCAAACGTAATGTTGACCTGAGATTAATAAAGTACCCCAGAATAATGTCTTTTTTTGGGGAGGGGTAGTTGTAGTGGGTAGCTAAGTAATGATTCCTTTCATTTTAGTATTGCCAGAGTAGCTCCAGAGGTAGCTAGCTAAGGATTCCTTATTTATTTATCAATTGATTGGTTTTCTAGCATATTGTTCTGGAGACTTCAATTGTTGAGGGGGGGGACCCCGGGGGGGGTTTATTAATCTGGAGTCAACATTATCAATCCGTCATCTCCAGCATGGCAGGTAGCTTGATATATTTTCATCTAGACCACACAGTGAGGTCAAATGGTTCTTAGAACAAGTGTCCACATCAACGGGTGTCACCTCAAGTAGTCCAGGAGCGTCCTTGATGTTCTTGCACGACTAAACGGTCGGCTAACGCGTCACGATATCTCGAGGCTTTTGCAGAGATGTGTGGACATTCGACAGCAGTGGGCAGAAGTGGAAGCTTGTCTCTATGGATGGTCCCTCTGCCAGGGCGTACCATGCAGCTGCGTGGGACCCCATGAATCTGGCGCTTTGGATTCACGGTGGCTTTGATGGTGTTGCTCGCCGAGACCTTTGGAGATTCAGCACCTTGAGCCACACATGGGACCTCATGGCAAACGAAGGGCCTTCGCCACGCTACAATCACGTGGCGGCGTGGGATGTGACCAGCAGCTCCTTTTGGGTGCACGGCGGCTATGATGGGAGTACTTTAAGAGATCTTTGGCAGTATGAGTTCACCACAACAAGTACTACGGTCACAACATCAAGCACTGTCACCTTTACCGTTGTCACATCTTCCAGCACACTTACTACAACGTACACGGCCACAAGCACCACCTCACAGAGTAAAACAAGAACATCCACCACTACCACCAGTATCAGCGCCACCAGTTCTACTTCTGTTTCCAAGACGGCAACATCGAGTGGCCTGTCAAATTCAAATACAATTCTCAGCAGAACAACGACAAGCGTCACGATGTCCAGCCCAACATCAAGCACAATGACCATGTCCAGCTTCACGATCTCACCGCTCAACCAAACTACCTCATCCTTCACTTCTTCCAGATCTACCTACAGTACGACAAGAAGTCGTCTAAGCTCAACGACCACGTCTACAACTCAGCTTTCCGAGGAATTTGTGGCTGCAGAGTTTCCTTTTGGTCCAGTTTTTGGATTTGTATTCATAGGAGCCCTCCTTCTCAGCTCCTGCTTCATACTCAAGTACTGCAACTTCAAGCCAAAGACCATCGTCACGCAGCTGCCTCCAACCCCAACAGATGTGCCATGTGCCCCCCGGGCTCCTCCACCAAATCTTCCAGCTGTCCCTCCGCAGTACCTGCCCGAACCACCACCATACCCGTTCGGCTCGATCGGGGTCCCACCAACGGCATGCACAAGTCCTTCTCGCAATGCACCCCAAGTTTATATGGACGGCGATCAATTGCCAGTGGGCAGCGTGGGAAGCATGGGATCCGGTGTTGGCTTCCAGATTGAATGTGCTAATCGGTGGCGCCGCATGGGCAAATGAGAGATGCATATTGACATTGAGATATTATTGAGGTGTTAGCCTAATAATTAATTGTCGTTGAATCAATTCTGTGGTGTGTGGGCTTAAGGCCCAGTTATGCCAGTGAATGCCAGCAAAGCCCCAGCTATGCAGCACAAGTGTGCAATATCCTGAACCTAGTGTTCGAAACCCAAAGCCTTCTGTTTGACGACTTTGCTGACCAAAATCCATGCGAATGTATGCGAAACATGTATGGCGATAGACGGAACGGGCGCCCTTGCGCCCTTGCTGTCGATGGACAACCGGAGGGAAAAGACGAGTCGGTTTGCCTTCGACTAGCTGACTAGCGGTTGAATTGAGCTGCATGATGGTGTAGTGAACCCTCGGTAATCTTTTTGGTGCAACTGCCTCTTTTGCTCCTTTTATATATGCGACATGTGGGCTGGGCAGCCCAGGATTCCTTGGTGGCAGAGGGCGGCCAGTGTCCTTGCGGCAGGTACAACGAACGAACCATGAAAGTGGGGCGCATCAGCATTGGTCTTCTGCCTGTCGTGTCCCAAGCAGCGGGCTACACGCCGCGTTGGTTCCAGATGGTAAACTTCTGAACACTGTATGTGACTGGCGGTCCTGTTATAGTTTTGTTCTGGTTTTCCACATGCTATAGTAACTTAGTATGAAGGTAAGGATAGATCAAAGATAGGCAACCAAGAATACAAGAGTCATAGTCACTCAGCACCTCAGCAAGAGCACTTTTTCGATGGTGTTTCGAATGGTGTTTGCTGTCGTTGGCTGACAAGTGTTTCTTTGTTTGTCCTTTGTTTATGCCCTTGTCGTTTTCCAACATTTAGCCAGGCTTTTTGATTTGAGGTACGGTACTTGGATGACCTCACATACCAGAAACATCAGCAAAGCTATTGTTTTGACTTGTATATGCGTTACCGGACATTGTCAGCCGACCGTCCTTTTGCAAGAGTCAAGGAATCCATGTGACCACTCAAAAAGATTGGTGTTGATTCCAAGGCATTTGCTAGCCATCTGAGGCCTCTATGGTTCCACCAACATGGTTCTGTCTTTAGGCCTCAGCACATAGCGATTTTGGGATTGGGTTGTGGGGCATGGTTTCAACACCTGATAATAGTTGTCTTGGGCAAGCAGCAAAAACATATTACATTTACAAGAACCGAGCACTACTGTAATTGAATTCCTTTGATTCAATGGAAATAGCTGCACTTGTACAAGTTTTAGCCATTGGAAACATGTGTGCGCAGTAAATGACCGTGGATGAGAGTATGGACACACACACATAAACAGGGGCAATGCGGAACGTTACCCTCACCCTGCTCCAGTGTACAATATTCTCAGCAGTATTCTCAGCTGCTGGGACAGTTAGTGCAGGCGCTCAAAGCACTCAAATCAACGGGATCGTGTCCTACTTGATGTGTCAATTGTTTAAACATGTTTAAACTTGAGGGCATGCAGAAAAGTTATTTATATATCAGCAACCACGTTTATTCATTCTTGACTAAAGTAGTCTACCGCATGCTCTATTTTGCTCAGTATTCGCTGGTGAACGAGACAGGGCCCCCACATAAACATACAAAGACACGATTGATTTTCATGACACTACAGTAGTCTGAGCGAGATACTGTGATTTGCAACTAAGGTAGTCTGAACGAGATACTGTGACATGACCTCCTACTTCAGTAGTCTAAATGAGATAGGGCCCACATATAATAGAGTTTAGTAATGAATCAATGCCGCCGCGCAGATCAGAAACAAGAGGTATGAAGTTCCTGCGTGCTGCCTTTTGAGAGCTCACTACAGAACGTCAGAACGTAGCTGTAGTTTGGTTGTATTCTTGCTCCTCAATGTTGACACCAGATCAGCAAACCACCAAAGATGCACAGGTGTGAACAGGTGTCACCGAAGTGAAACCAATTCGACAAGGCAAAAATTGCATTTGCGACCGACGGAGAACGTTGACACCTGCAAATGAAGAACAATACGTTTGCAATGCTAGTTTTTCGAGGAGGAAGATCTGGTAAGTTCAAGAATGCAGAAGAATGGACCGACCTGCTTTTGGCCACTAGAGACTTTTGTTTTTCCATCACAGGTGTGGGAACCACATGGCTGTTCAAAGCTGATTAGTCTTTTCCAGCGTTCTTTTAGTTTTTTGTTGTAGCTCAGCTATGGTAGAAGCAATGTGTTTTTGAAGAACCCTGGATTTATAGTGCGGTAGGTGAAGGAAAGCAGGTGCTATGAGTGTTAATGCATCAGTGAAAGGTCTCTTCTGAGAATAGATGTGTGAACTCTCAGGGTGGCTGCTAGCTGCTAGCGTTATTTGCCGACTCCACAAGGGGTGATCGTCTGCTGAGCGTCGATGTTGGACATCCGATTCCCGGTGGCCGTCAGGCGAAGCGGCGAAGCGGCGAAGCTCCAGCCCGCTGTGACGTGGCCGTCCCACATGGCTCTTTTAAGCTTTGCTGTCTTGGACTGACGAAGCCTTGACCCGGGGTTTAAGGGTCTGTGACGTTGCTCTTCCTCGCTATATAATGGAAGGATGATGAATGATGTATGATTTTCCTTTAGTGTTGGGCTAGTAGCTATCAGTTCGTGTCTACATCAGCTTGGTGAAGCGGAGAAACTTGTCAGGATTGCACCCGAAGCCGTTTCACCGCTCAGTCAGGATGATGTCCTTTGTAATCTATGTAGAGTTAGGACATTGTAGCTTTAGGATCATATGTGCAGGAATTCAAGACTCGAGTGGCTCGTTCTGCTAAACATCCTGGCCGCAACACTTGCTACCTGGACTCTGGTCACAGAAGATACCGGCCCATCTCCACGGTCTGTGCATGCGGCAGCTTGGGACAGCAGCAGTCAGCGTTTCTGGATTCATGGCGGTAGTGGAGAAGCATTCCTGAACGATCTGTGGACCTTTGATCTCAGAAGCAATTCCTGGAACTTGCTTCCTGACAATGGTAGGACGCCTTCCGGTCGGGAAGATCACGTAGCCGTTTGGGATCCTGGCGGGCAAGCCCTTTGGGTTCATGGTGGGTTTGATGGCACCAACTTCCTCAGAGACGTCTGGAAGTATTCGGGCAACAGCTGGTCTCTAGTGGCAGACAGCTCCTCGTATGGCCCTGGTGCCCGGGCTGATCACGTGGCGGTGTGGGATGCAAGCAGCTTTGCCCTTTGGATTCATGGAGGATACGATGGAGTTTTGCATGATGACTTGTGGAAGTTCGACTCGCAAGCAGGCAGCTGGATTTCCATCTCCATCAGCAAGGTGCCTTCTGCAAGAGCATACCATGTTGCTGCCTGGGACGAAGCAAATTCGGACATTTGGATTCATGGTGGCTTTGATGGCGGCCCCTTTGGGTGCAAACGAGGGAGTACGTTTGATTTGTGTGTTGTGCGTCCCCCCATTGATTCTTTTCGGAGCTGATGTTGCGTACCACACACAACGCAAGTTGTCATTGTTTTGAGATTGTAAGCTTCAAAAGAAACGAACTGCATCTAATTGCATATACATGCATTACAGGCTTTACAAAGGTAGGGTAAATGAGAATCCCTCAATCCTTGACCAGGCCTTTGCAGAGATATCTGGAAGTTTGACACAACGGCCTTTAGCTGGAGCCAAGTGTCAGCTGATGATGGTCCCTCTGCCAGAGCTTATCACGTAGGTGCCTGGGACCCCTCTGGCCTTGCCCTTTGGATTCATGGTGGATTTGACGGAATAGCTCGGCGAGACGTCTGGAGGCTCAACACCTTGACTTCCAGATGGGAATTGCTGCACGACAGCAGTGGACCCATCCGTCGTTACAACCATGTTGCGGGCTTTGATGCAAGAAGTCAGTCCTTCTGGATCCATGGTGGTTATGAGGGCAGCACGCTACAGGATTTGTGGCGGTTTGACATCACGACAACAACAACGAGCAGCTCTTCCACATGGACCACCGTCACCCTCAGTACCAGTTCCACTACCTTCACCACATCCAGAAGCAGCACCTCAAGAACCACATCCAGCACAAGCAGCAGCACAAGAACGAGTTCCAGCTCAAGCACCACCACACTCACAACAACCAGCTTCTCCAGTACAACCACCACCTCTTCAACCAAGACCGCAACGACAAGCAGCTCTAGCACACACAGCAGCTCCCTTACATCGAGTACCACTAGCTCCACCCACACCAGTAGTACCAGCACTGTGAGTAGCTCTAGCACCACTACAACTTCCAGAAGCTCAACAGTCTCAAGCTCAACCAACACCACCAGGACAACGAGCACGTCCACCACGAACACGACCATGTCTACCAGTCTTTCAAGCACTTTTACCACCTCCAGCCTCACCTTCAGCAGCTCTACCAGCAGTACTCTCACAAGAACCTCGCGCACCAACACGTCCACAACTGTCACAATCTCCAGCTCAACGTCCAGCACAGTGACCGTTTCGACATCCACCAGCAGCTCAATAACGAGGAGCTCTGTAACCAGCAGCTCTGCAACACAGACACGAACCAGCACCAGCTCCTCAACAAGAACTTTGACAACCTCAACCAGCAGCACTGCGACCACAACGACCACCACACCCGAAGATTTGACAGCAATGCTGGTGCTTTGTCCGACTCTTGGAGTTGTAACTCTTGGAGTTTTGGCTGCAATGGCTTGTTGGGCATACAAGCACTGCAGGTGCGAGCGAGTTCTCATTGTGCCGGCGGGTGCACCACCCGCACCACCGCCCCAATGGTGGCCACCTCCACCTCATGCCCATCATCACGCACATCCACAGTCCGGGTGGCTTCGGCCTCCAAATCCGGCACCAACAGCCTCGCCTGCTCCACCAACATTGACATCGCGCCAGAACACGCAACTGCTAAGTGCACCACCCGATCCTCAACCGGTGAAAGCACCGCCAAATCCTCACCTTCAACCTCTTTTGCCAGACCTACATGTGTTTGAGCCACTCACCAATCCACCACTTGAGGTGATCATAAAGATCGAAGCCAATACGTTTCAAGAGGCTCCGCCTCAAGATGTTGCTGCCAGTGACACCAAAACATGTTCAGTGACATTCCAACTGGCTCCAACAGCTTTGGTTGAAGGGCGAGTGGTACTGCCCCGAGTGCCAGGAGACACAATGACAGCACCAGTCCTTCGTCTTGCTCCTCCAGGCGCAAGTATCACGAGGCCATTTTTGACGCTGCCAGCACAGCAACCGCATCCAGCAGCTGGTCCACAACAAGATATCGCTCGCAGAAAGGGGGTGGCCTCATCCAGATTCGCGTTTGAATTACCAGACTTGTGCAAGTGTCGGGGGAGAATGATGGATGAGGCCTATTGCAGTCCTGCATCCCCAACCCCCCAAGTTGTGCATGTCCCGCACATTCTGTTGGGTCCCGCACCAAGCATCTCAGCAAGGTTGACATATGAAGTACTCGCTGCTACTGATGCTTTGCACCCACGGTGGCTGGGCGAAACAATGGTGGCACCTGTCTTGGAAGTACCCAGAAGTGGCTCGCACACTGCGGGGGTTGCCACGGTGGTGCCGCCGATACCAGATGTACTTCCTCCAGAGTTCTTGTATCGCAAGGAGGAGGTGGCCATATCCCCAACCCCATCAACAGCCTGCTGTCTCAATCACTTGTGTGCGAGGAAGCCAAGATGTGTTGAACAAGCTGATCAAAATGTGTCAGATTTGATCGAGGTCTTAAGGTACCTGGAGCAAGGTTGTCCCAGGATTCCCCCGTTCCCTTCAGATGGTGGTTTGCCCATGATCATGCCACACAGATCCGCATTTCCACCAATGCGAAGACCACGACATCCATTTGCAACGCCACCAGCACCTGTGCTGGAAGCGCCCACCGCAAATCCAGTGGTCAAAGCGCAGAAGGAGCGAGAACCTGAGGCTCCAGAGGTGGCGAGAACCTGGGCCTTCCGGAGGCGCAGGGCGCCTTTCAGACCATGACAGCGAAGAGATGGACCCACTCGATGCATCAGGTACGGATCGATGGGATGCGGTACTCGGAGTACTGAGCTTTGCTCCTCCCTTTTCGAGCTGCACAAAAGGCATCAAAGAAATGCTTCGGCCGGCAGCTTGAAAGGTCCCCAAAGACCTGCAATCCACCCGAGGAATCATGCTCTCTAAAACGGAGAGCTTGCAGGGACACAACTGGCAGAGGCAGAGAAAATTGAGTTTTGTCTTGTGGACTGGAGCCTGTCCAGGGTAATTATGTCCCAAGCCAACCGAGCAGAAGAGGTGTTGTCATCGTCATATTTGCAGATCGCAGAACATCATAGAACTACTGGCAACTTGATGTCGAAAGCGCACTTGCCACTTCAGTGATCTTCAGTGCATATCAATCTTCATCATGATGCGAGTGTTCTGTGTTGAATCAACGATGAGAATCATTCTCGCAGGCTCACATCAAGCCTCGCGGATGAGTTTGAAAGAGACGCAGTGTATATAACTATGACTATGATTAATTACGTGCTACCAGCCAGCCTCATTCTTTTGGAAATACCTCCAAGTAAAACATGCCAGACTGAGGTCAGTTCCAATTTGCTTCAGAATCATTCGACTGTGAGCCGAGACCGGACCCGACCCGGACTGACAGCTCCAGAATCGCAAGGAGCCTTCATGTTTATGTTCCAGATATTTTAGTGCTGGAAAAGTTCTAGGTCATGCTGGAAAATGCCTGAAGCCAGGTTCCTTCTGCAGACTGTGAAATCAGGAGGAAGGCGTGTTCTGGTGACTAGGTCAATCGGAAAAAGAGCAATCTTATGTATGTTCAATGCAGTAAAAGAAAGAACTGTGAATCTTTGACACGTGAAATTCTTCTCGGAATATCACAATGGAGCAAGGTTGAGGCATTTTTTTTAGATCTTTTTGGTTGTTCATCACATGCTTTGAACCAGAAGCCGTTTCACCACTCAGAAGCTGGAGGCCATGGACGGTCCTGATGTGGCCTCGGGCAGTGGCTTGTGATTTCAGGGGCACATGTCGAGAAGCTCCAGGTTTGAGCGGCTTGTTTTGTTGAATGCTTTCGCAGCAACACATGCTATGTGGACTCTTGTGACCAATGACACTGGTCCCTCTGCGCGTTCAGTGCATGCGGCCGCTTGGGACAACATTGGCCAGCGTTTTTGGATTCATGCCGGCTGCGGAAAAGAACTTCAGAAGGATCTTTGGACCTTTGATTTGGGAAATGACTCCTGGAACTTGCTTCCTGACAATGGTTGGGCACCTTCCAAGCGCGAGGATCACGTAGCCGTTTGGGATTCTGGCAGACAGGCCTTGTGGGTTCACGGTGGGTTTGATGGCACCAACTTCTTCAAAGACCTCTGGAAGTATTCGAGTAATATTTGGACTCTGGTGGCAGACAGTTTGGCATTCGGCCCTGGCGCTCGAGCTAATCACGTGGCGGTGTGGGATGCAAGCAGCTCTGCCCTTTGGATTCATGGAGGATACGATGGAGTTTTGCATGATGACTTGTGGAAGTTCGACTCGCAAGCAGGCAGCTGGATTTCCATCTCCGTCAGCAAGGTGCCTTCTGCAAGAGCATACCATGTTGCTGCCTGGGACGAAGCAAATTCGGACATTTGGATTCATGGTGGCTTTGATGGCGGCCCCTTTGCATGCAAACGAGAGTGCGTTTGAATTGTGTGTTGTGCTTCCCCCCCATTGATGCTTTTTGGAGCTGAGGTTGCGTACCACACACAAGCCAAGTTGTCATTGTGTTGAGATTGTAAGCTTCAAAAGAAACGAACTGCATCTAATTGCTGCATATACATGCATTACAGGCTTTACAAAGGCAGGGTAAATGAGAATCCCTCAATCCTTGACCAGGCCTTTGCAGAGATATCTGGAAGTTTGACACAAAGGCGTTTAGCTGGAGCCAAGTGTCAGCTGATGATGGTCCCTCTGCCAGAGCTTATCACGTAGGTGCCTGGGACCCCTCTGGCCTTGCCCTTTGGATTCATGGTGGATTCGACGGAATAGCTCGACGAGACGTCTGGAGGCTCAACACCTTGACTTCCAGATGGGAGCTGTTGCTAGACAATGGGCCCGTTCAGCGTTACAACCATGTTTCTGGTTATGATGTCACAACTAGCTCCTTTTGGATCCATGGTGGCTATGAGGGCAGTGCCTGCTGCACCGTGCAGCAGGATTTGTGGCGGTTTGACATCACGACAACAACAACGAGCATAACGAGCAGCTCTTCCACATGGACCACCGTCACCCTCAGTACCAGTTCCACTACCTTCACCACATCCAGAAGCAGCACCTCAAGAACCACATCCAGCACAAGCAGCAGCACAAGAACGAGTTCCAGCTCAAGCACCACCACACTCACAACAACCAGCTTCTCCAGTACAACCACCACCTCTTCAACCAAGACCACAACGACAAGCAGCTCTAGCACACACAGCAGTTCCATGACCTCATCAACCACGTCAAGCAGATCCACTACTCTGACCGCAACCAGCAGCAGTAGCACTGTGAGTACTTCCCGCACCACCATTACCACTACAAGCACCACCATCTCGAGCTCCCTGACTAGTTCTAGCACACGAAGCAGATCAAGCACGACGGTGACCAGCACAACAGTGACCACTAGAACAACAAGTAGTTCCACCTTGACAAGCAGCTCTGTTACTGAAACATTTACAACAGCCACAGTCACAACAACTGCATGTCCAGAATGCGCCATTGATCTTTCACTCGTGCTTTGTCCAATCCTTGGAGTTGTAACTCTTGGAGTTCTGGTGGTGATGGCTTGTTATGCACGCAAGCACTGCAGGTGTCGGCGAGTTCTCATTTTGCCGGCACCAGCAACTGCACCGCAGCCCCGGTGGCCAGATCATCCACCACCGCCACCCATGCATTTGCAAATCTCCCTACCTCCGCCCTCACCTCCACCACCACCACCACAGCTGTACGTCATCCAACAGGAACCTCCACCTCCACCAGCACAGCTTTACGTCATCCAACAGGAACCAATGCCAACTAAGTTGACAACTCTAGATCCTGGTCAAAGACCTGTTCAGATTGTCACGGAAGTGGAATTGGGGATTGGAGCTGCGCATGTTGAAGCTCAAGAGAACGAAGGCATATCACACAGGCCACCACAAGGACCGACACAGTTGGTAGGCCCTTGATACCAGCAATCCAGCTCACAGATTCACAGAGGACAGTGATTTACGTGCGGGAGTGATGCGAAGAAGCTGGACAAGTCAATGCACACACACACACACTTGCACTGGAAGTGCTAGGTGCAGTTGGTACATAAGAGCTGAGTGAAAAACAAGCATAATTTCATGTTATATAAATACTTTCTTGTTTCAAATTGAGCAATCATGGGTATCAAAGAAATACCCTGTAGTCGTCGGGTGTAGTCGCTACTAGTCAGATTCTTGCAGCTGCATAGGTTCTCACGGTTTCTGAGGATTGAAAAGCAGCCAAAGATTTCGCATGATTTCGCGATCCTTAAAGGATGATACTCTCTAAAACAGAGAGCAGACCAGATGGCAAGCAGCGAGGAAACCTGCAGACCACTCTGTCCCCGCATAACATCTTTCAGGCCTTCGTACCCTTGCACAAAGGTATGGACAGGTTCTCAACCTTGTGACTTGTCTCTTTGACTCCTTGGTGATTCTCGTTTAACATGTTTAATGACGGCGAAAAGACTCACAAGACTGACGCCTGTTGAAGAGAACAATTTCTGGCACGACAGGTATGCTTAGCCAGTGGCGTGCCCCCAAAATGGCCTGCTCAATGGTGTGAGCGCAGGCTAGGCTAGGCTTTGTTTTTGGCAGTCACACATGTCTGAAGGTGGTTGGCTAAAGGGAATTGAAGTCACTGAAGCTTCTTTCTTGTCGGTGAATTGCCGTGCGGAAATCATTTGCACCCGGAGCCGTTTCACCGCTCAGCCGATATCATTTGTGGTAGAGTTAGGAAATCAATGGACATCATAGCTTGATGTCCGTATGTGCAGGAATTCAAGACTCGAGTGGCTCGTTCTGCTAAACATCCTGGCCGCAACACTTGCTACCTGGACTCTGGTCACAGAAGATACTGGCCCATCTCCACGGTCAGTGCATGCGGCAGCTTGGGACAGCAGCAGTCAGCGTTTCTGGATTCATGGCGGTAGTGGAGAAGCATTCCTGAACGATCTGTGGACCTTCGATCTCAAAAGCAATTCCTGGAACTTGCTTCCTGACAATGGTAGGACGCCTTCCGGTCGGGAAGATCACGTAGCCGTTTGGGATCCTGGCGGGCAAGCCCTTTGGGTTCATGGTGGGTTTGATGGCACCAACTTCCTCAGAGACGTCTGGAAATATTCGGGCAACAGCTGGTCTCTAGTGGCAGACGCAACTGTGCCTGGTCCTTCTGCTCGAAGCAACCATGTAGCAGTATGGGATCCAAGCAGTTCTGCCCTCTGGATTCACGGAGGATACGATGGAGTTTTGCATGATGACTTGTGGAAGTTTGATTCCCCGTATTCTGTTTGGAGGCGCATCTCAAGCTCCTTTGCACCATCAGCGCGAGCTTACCATGCAGCTGCCTGGGATGATACGAATGCTGCCATTTGGATTCATGCTGGCTATGATGGCCGTTCCTCACTCAAGAGAGTCTTTCGTTTGCCTTTGTTCAGCACCACGCAAGTGTTGAAGCAGCACAGCTGTTCTGTTAGGCGGTCAAGTCTTTCAGGGATGGATTAATGGTGGGAGGATGTAGATAAGTTCGGGGTCATTGACCAGATTGTTTCAGGATTTGGAGCTGCGCAGGGGGCATGCTGTGTGTCCCTTAATTTCTTGAAGCTTCCATGTTGAGTACTAATCTGACACCTTTATCCCTTGACAGGTGCCTTACAGGAATCAATTTCAATACATGTCAATCAATTATATATCATCTCAAATCAGATCATACGGTCAATGGCTGGTTTCAACATGTTTCGGTTTCCAACCAGGTTTATGCCGAGATTTGTGGAACTTTGACACGGTCACCGAAACGTGGCACTGGGTCTCCGATCGCGGTCCTTCTGCACGGGCCTACCATGTGGCCGCCTGGGATCCGATGAATCTGGCCTTATGGATTCATGGTGGAAAGGATGGTGTGCCGCGCAGAGACCTCTGGAGATTCGACTCACTGAGTTCTTCATGGTCTTTGATTCACCAGGTGGATGAATATGGGCCTTCAAGGCGCTATGACCATGTGGGAGCCTGGGATACAAGCAGTATGTCACTTTGGGTCCATGGAGGCTATGAAGGCAATATGCTTCGAGATCTTTGGCGCTTTACAGTCCCAACGACCACGACCTTCGCCTCAACTGGAACTCTGACTACAATGGCCCTGACATTCAGCTTGAGATCTCCGGAGGATTCCACTGCGCTTTCGGTGATTTGCCTCTTGGTTGGATTCCTCATTTTTCTGGCTGTTCTTTTGATCTCCGTGTGTGCACTCAAGCACTGCAAAGGCAGTGCACAAGTTGTCGTTTTGCCAACTCCAGCACCGCCGCCACCTCCGCCGCCATTGCCACCTTCACAGCCAGTGGCGGCATGCCCTGACAACTGGACAATCCCTATCGACACGCAGCAAATTCACGCATCCCCCGAGCACTCGAGAATGCCTGCCAACAGTCATCCAACCCAAGCCAACACACAGCCAGTCCATCCATGCCAGGAGTGCTCTACTCAACCTGCCACAACAGTGTCAATCCACACCGGCCATGAGTACTTAACACTCCCTGCCAACACGCAGCCACTCCAAGCATGTTTTGGGTGCGTTACGCTTCCGGCTGACTGGCAGCCAATGACACTGTGCCCCCAGTACGCCAGACTACCGATCAACAGCCAAGTGCTCATTTCACCAGCAGATCCTTCCGCAGCAATTCCAGTGGTACCACCTTCCACCACCCCAGCTCTGGATCTCAGCATTCCGACCTTGCAGCGATTGGCATTCAGTTTTTGCCTTCAATTAGACAGCCCACCATCCATCAAACGAACCAAATCGCTCTTTCTTTATCCAGACAGACCACCACTGCTTGAGCCTTTTCAGACAGAGTGCCCAGCACAAAGAGAATGGATTTTTCATTTGCATGAGCCGCGTAGAACCAGGCAAACACCACAAAGCATGCCAACATTACCCCAGCCAAAGCAGCCAGGACCAACCATGCCGAGCCCTGTCCTTAATATGCCGAGAACGATCATCCCCGACAAGCGCGCACTGGTGGCTCTTCCACTCATGGATCCTCTACCTCAGCAGCCACCTGATCGGCATTGTGGATCGACCATTATAGTTCCCTTTGATTTTTCACAACGCAGAACCGTTCTTCACTCCACGGAGAGACCAGAGGTCCAAGTCTTTGCCAGCCCGTCGCCGCCGTGGCCTGTTCATGAACCAGTTGTGGTTGTGAGACCTTGTACACCAACACTTTCGACCATTCCAAACCTTCCAACCATTCCTGTGGCAAAGCTATTCCAGTTCGACCATTGCGCTTCAGGCATTCCAATTCCCACCTCACAAAGACCGAAAGCTCCAAAGGCAATTCAAAAAGCACCACTTTTGCGCAGACCAGGGAAGTCCAGGGCAAGACAGAGACCGCGATCCCTAACTTCAACACTGGGGGGTCCATGGTGGACCTGTCCAGAGACTCCAGGGCCTGGAGCTTATGATCCAGAGCATCCAGGCATCTTTGGACGAATTCCAGGCCGGGATCCAAGCCGTTTCCAACGTCGCGATGGCCGAGATAGACTGACCAAGAGTCAGTCCTGCAGTCGGATTCTTTAGAAAAAGCTGGAACATGCTGGAACAAAGGATTTTCAAGCTTTCCATGTATATAGAGATGTGAAAGGATGAGAAAATACCTCGTCCTTAGATGTTAATCTCTTCTTTGACAGCAAGCAATTCTTCGGCAAAGAACCAATTTCACATTGATTTGTGCCGAGCTCAGCATGCTGCTAGTCCTCAAGGATAGGGGCAGTGTGGCATTGGAAGTCTTTCCAAGAAGGAGAGAACTTCCTGCCGGCGGAACAATGTGGAAAGATGATGAAAGATGTAGAAAGTCTGGCTGTTGTTTTTGTTTGAAACTCTTGGATTTTGGAGGCATGCCTGCATAGCACTGCCACAAATGACCGACAGGTTTCAAGCCGCAGAGGCAGGTGTCTCCTTCTTCAGACTTCGTCAAGGACGCACAAATCAGGCGTCTAAAGCATCGAACATGGAAGACGCTTTGGATTTGTTTGGTCCCTTGAGTCCCTTCAGCTTTACCAGCGCAAGACGGTCGTCGTTTTTGGGCAGAATGGACAGGACACACACACTGCGGCTTTCTTCATGATCAATGCCTTCGAGGAGAGGGGCTAGTCGGGACAAGGTCCTCGAGTCGATGAAGGTGGGCTCGCCTCGGGTTTTCCTTTTGCCCATTGTTATTGTTTTGGGTGCAGAATGGTGCAGACCATGATGGCGGGATTTATATATGCTATATTATATGGACACCGCCCTCTTGAGGGACCACCCTTTCATATTTCCATGACACTATCTATACTCAATGAGTATTGCTTCCAAATTAAGGAATGCCGCATGCCAAAAAGCACTGTAGCATACAGTAGGAAGCAGAAGATTTAATATGTTACAAAGAAATGCATTCTCAAGGAAAGGGGTATGAATCTATACAAAAAGGTGAAGGCATAAATTTGGCCAACATGTACTCTTCCCATTCTGCTAACGAAAGCCAGCCGATAGGCAAGGCTTGAGGTTCCAATGCGAACGAAGTGAGTAAAGGGGGTGTGGGGGGGAGGCAATCTCGGAGAGGCTGACCCAGAACCTGGTGGGGGAGAGCGACAAAAGAGGTGGCCAGGAGGTAATGAACATGAGTAGTTTTTGGATGTTGTGATGCAAGTGATGTAATTGATGGCGAGCTGTGCATCATTAGCATCACGAAGGAGTCAGGAGGCCATGTAAACTGTCTTTACCCAGGGTGGGAGTGCACGTCGATGAGAGGAAAGGGAAGATAAGGGGACGTGAGAAGTCGGTGGAACTCACCCTATACTTGAGAGCAGGAAAGAGAACAGATTGTTGCTTGAGGTGGGAGCTCACGTGGATGAGGCAGGAAGGTTTTGAATTGCTTGGGGTTGTTGAGGGCAGGAGAGAGAACAGATTGCAGCGGGCAAGCGTTGGAGGCGGAAGGCTTGAGTTGCTTAGGGGTGCCCCTTTTTTATCCGTGGCAAGGGGTAGTTGCCGGACTCAAAAGGCACCCCATATGGGGTGCATGATGCCATCTGTTGAGGGCATGCGAGAGAACAGATTGCAGCGGGTTGAGTTGGCGGAGTGAAAAGGGCACCCCATTTGCGGTGGAAGGAGTTCACGTCGATGAGAGGAAAGGGAAGACAAGGGGACGTGAAAAGTGGTTAGAACTCACCCTATACTTGAGAGCAGGAAAGAGAACAGATTGCAGTTGCGGGCAAGCTTAGCGTTGCTTGGCGCGCCCTTTTTTAGTTGCCAGACTGAAGAGGGCACCCCCTATAGGGGGGCTGCAATATCAACTTCACCACTTCTTCCCTCTTTCTCCACTCTACCTATATACATATATGTCTCCTCCCGAAAGTCTCCCGATAACCTCACCCCTCGACCCCATAACCACAGTAAGGTTTCGGTCGGTTGGAATCGGTTTGAATGTTTTTCCATCTTCGAATCGGTTCGGTTTGGTTGTGGAAGTATCTGTTCATCGACTTTCGGTTCGGTTCACGGTTCGTTTCGGTTCTGTGATTTATAAGTTTCGCAGTGGGGTAAAGGAAAGAAAGGCAATGATAAAGAGACAAGACTAGACTATAGACCTTGAGAACAAGGGAAAATGGAAAGCAAAAGGAAAGGAAAGGAAAGTAACTATTTTAAGGAAAGGAAAGGAAGGGAAAGCAAAGAAAGGGAATTAAAAGAAAAGGAAAAGCAAGGGGAAGGAATGCAACTTGTGAATATACGTTTTCCAGGCCTTCGAAAAAGCATATTGGAAAGGAAGGCCAAGAAAAGGAAAAGGAAGGACAGGTAAGGTATGCAATTTGTGAATATGCGTTTTCCTGGCAGTCTAAAAAGCATAAAGGAAAGGAAAAGGAAATGGAAATGGGCAGGTGGGAATGCAATTTGTGAATATGCTTTTTCCAGGCCTTCCAAAAAGCATATTGGAAAGGAAACCCAAGAAAAGGAAAAGGAAGGAAAGCAAAGCAAAGCAATGGACAGGAAAAGGAAAAGGAAAAGGACAGGTAAGGCATGCAATTTGTGAATATGCTTTTTCCATGCCGTCTAAGAAGCATACTGGAAAGGAAAGCAAGGAAAAGGAAAAGGAAAGGAACCCATTTTATGAATGCGCCTGAAGCCGGGCCGGGCCAGTGACATGCTGTATGGACATTCCAGTGGCGGACTGCTGCTCTGAAACTCAAGACTTTGGACAGTCTGAAAAACGTCACAGCGGAACAGAGCGGAACGGTTCGTTTTTCTTTTCGGTTCGGTTGTGTTTGGAAAATTGACGGTTGTAATGATTCGGTTGGTGAAAAATTTCGGTTCTTGACATTCGCTGACCTTCGCTTCCGAAAGTTCGGTTCCGAATCGATTCGGGACCCTTCCTGTAACCATCTTTGCTCACTGGTTGGCGCCACACAGCAAGCTACGACCCCTCACTTCCTTCGAGGGTGCCCTTTTTCACCTCCAAAACGACCCCCAACCACGACGAAAAAGGGCACCCCCCCCGAACCTATGTACTATACTTTCTGTTTCTACCTCCTATGAGAGTGGCTGCGATGTCAACTTCACCACCTAAACGTATGCTTTGCCTGATTTTAGCCAATCACTTCATCTCACGCGCTCCAGTGGCCTCAATATCAACTTCACCACTTCCAGCCCTCTACCTCTATGCATATATGTCTCCTCCAGAAAGCCTGCCGATAACCTCGCCCCTCGACCACCCATAACCATGTTTGCTCACTGATTGGCGCCACACAGCAGGCTACCTTTCTTCGAGGGTGCCCTTTTTCACTTCCAAAACGAGCCCGAACCACGACGAAAAAGGGCACCCCCCCAACCTATGTGTTTTACCTTCTCTTTCTACTCCTATGTGAAACTGAGGTGCTGATACTGGGTTCCACAACAATTACCTTCCAGCGTGTTCTGTTGAGATGGCTATTTTTCAAGAACCCGGTAGGACACCTTACTGCCTGAACAGATGAGCAGAAAACATCCGGGACAATTCAGTCCCAACCCATCCGCCGTTTTGCAGTTGCTCAGTGCGATCGTCACCATGGTTCCAGGGGATATGGCCTTGGCTCCGATGCACGGACCTAGCAGCTGGAGGGGTACCGAGGTCGGGACCTTGAGCGGTCTTGAGCGGTGTGCGGTTGGGCTGGGCGGCCGGGTGGCTTGAGGCGAGAATGAAACGAAGATCTGAACATGTTTGAAAGGATTCACATGTGGAAGTCAGACAGAAGGGGGTTGGAGGAAAGCTAGAAATGTCAAGGAGGTAAAAAGACACGGGAGGTGCTCTCTCTCTGTAATTACAATGTTTGATCAATCCTCTGAGTTGTAAAAAAACAATGGAAATCGAGCTGCCTTTTGAAGCATGCCCTCCATTCAGGTGGTCCTCACTGACGGTCTCGAGGCCGGTCACATATGTCGAACATGATGGACCCTGTGAAACGCGTGTATATATGTCACAAGGATTCATAATGTTCAATAAGATGTCATAAACATCATAAAGGAACCACACAGACTATGGCACGATGCAGTATGAAAACAGTCCCAATGCAGGCACTGGAAGAGCAGTGATTGTCAGTGTACGGTGCGCTGCAAGCTGTTTCAGGGCTCGCACACATACCACAAAAATGCAATGTTTCCAGGGAAAGCTTCATGGCATGTCCGCGGCTCGGGCTTCTTTGCCTCAATTGGCTCCTCACTTCGGTGCGTGCTGCTTGGAGTCCTGTAGTGGACCAAGGAAGACCCCCTGGACGCTCGGTACACGTCGCTGCCTGGGATGCCATAGGTCGACAGATTTGGATCCACGGTGGAAGCCAAAGCGAGTTTTTGGACGATCTGTGGACATACAATGTCGACAACAAGACCTGGGAGCGCAAATGGCCACCAGCACCGGCACCTTCCAAGCGTGGAGACCATGTGGCTGTTTGGGATCCCTGTGAGCCAGCTTTGTGGATTCATGGTGGGTTCGATGGTAGAAGCTTCTTCAAAGATTTGTGGAAGTATTCCGGCAACAGCTGGACCGAAGTGACTGTGGATGGTCCTCAAGAACGAAGTGATCATGTGGCAGTGTGGGATACAGCAAATGGAGCACTATGGGTTCATGGTGGAGACAATGGTGTGACTCTGATGCAGGATATCTGGAAATATGACTCACTCCACAAAGGGACTTGGGTTCTTGTACAAGATGTCACTCCACCTTCAGCCATGGCTCGTCACGCGGGTGTTTGGGATGATAGAAACCTGGCACTGTGGATTCATGGCGGGGATGATGGAAGCTCTTTCTGCTATTCGGAGGCAAAGAGGGACGGTTTTACTTTACGTTTTGGTGCATTTCTGCGGCATGTCGTAACATGGTGTAGCTAGGTTTTAGGGATGTTTGAGATGTGCTCACAACATCGTAAAACAAGATGCCCTTGTATTCAAGCAAGCAATGTACATGGATAAGTGGGAGCCGTACAGATGGACGTGCGCCCGTACAAACAGACCTGCGGATGAACGTGACAACTGCCCTCCATTGTATGCACGGTTGTCTCTGCAAGCCTGATTTTAGTAATAACTTAGTAACGGCACAACACGACCAGAGCAGAAGACAAGCCGTCACACTGACGCTGCCTTTTTTTTGCATGAAGGTTCATGTTTTTTTGCTTTGCTCAGTTCAGTCACACTCACTTGTACTCAGACAGATTTGGATCCACAGACTCACTCAAATCATCCCATGCATGTAGTATGTACACAGGCATGTACTCGTATATACACATGTTCACACCTGTGTACATGTTCTGATGCTTGAACATAAGAGCTAAACACCCGCAACTGCATGTTTGTATCATTAAGCAAAGGATGTACAGACTTAAGACGTTTCCTTTAAACACTGCACAAATGATGAACATAAATGTGTATACATGCGCGCATCTGCCCGTATGTATATAGACTCTTGCCGACATCATATCTTCTATATAATAAGATATAATAAGTCTAATGGACACAGTCTAAGCCACCACACTGCCTGTCTCAGAATGGCAATTCTCTCAGTTTGTGAACCATCTGTGCCGCACACGCCCACGTCACTTCAGCTCGCTGCCCTCGGAAAAGAAAAGGAAAAGCTGTGGACATACCTGTTTACAATGTGTTGATTTCAGCCAAGGCATATTGAATTTGGTGTTGTGTATGCACAACCTTAGTGCACCTGCCTGTTCTTTTGGGTGTGCTGGAGCTGCTGGTGTTTGGTCAGGTCATTTGGCAGTAACAACCTCAAAGCATCTAAAACCAAAAATATGTTGAAGTTAACAGTGATATTAGTGCAGCAAGTGAAAGCTTCAACAGGAACTGGTTTGTAAGAGCCGAGCACAAAGTAAGGCTGTTTGCAGCAGCTGTGGAGATTTGACACCCAAACACTTCGTTGGAACTTTGTTTCCAACGGTGGTCCAACAGGAAGGGCATATCATACTGCCGTATGGGACGCCATGAATCAGGCCATTTGGATTCATGGTGGGTTTGACGGTCAGGCTCGAAGAGACCTTTGGAGGTTCAGCGTGTTGAGCATGACATGGGAGCTGATTGCAGACCAAGAACTGCCATCAAGGCGATATAATCACGTTGCAGCCTGGGATGTTACAAGTATGTCAATGTGGATACATGGTGGCTATTCTGGATCAAACATCTTGCAGGACTTTTGGAGATTTCGGGCCACCACACTCACCACGACACCCTGTCAGTGCAGCTGCCTTCCTTACTGCATTTGCCACTGTATTCCCCACCAAACAATTGAATGCCCAACAACCACCACAACCAGCACACGCAGTTCCAGCACTACCAGCACAAGATCTAGTTCAAGCACAACCTCCATCTCTATAACTGAGACTAGCAGTACCCTGTCTAGCACCAGCTCTTCCACTACAAAAACATCCAGTTCTAGTTTCACCTCTAGCACAATCACCACCACAAGTTGCACCACATCCAGCACCACCTTTTCCACCACTACCACATCCAGCTCAAGCTCAAGCTCTAGTACTGTCACGTCTACCACCAGTACCACACTCAGTGCTACAACAACTAGCTCAAGCACCACCTCGAGCACAATCACAGCCACCAGCAGCACCACATCCAGCACTACCTTTTCCACAACTGCAACATCTACATCAAGCAGCAGTTCCACGAGCAGCACTTCTATCAGCAGCACGATGTCTAGCACAACCTTTTCCACAACAAGAACATCCAGCTCAAGCACGGTCTCTAGCAGCTTCTCCACGACCAGTACCACTGCCACCAGCACTACCACACCCAGCACAACCTTTTCCACAACTACTACAGATTCGCGTACAATCACCACAACCAGCGTCACCCACAGCACCAGTACCTCATCCAGCGCTACCATTTCCACAAGTACAACGTCAAGGTCAACGACAACCTCGCATACAGAAACCACCAGCACCATCACAACATCCAGTGCCACCTTGACCAGCTCTACCAGTAGTTCTGGCACCAGCACTTCCAGCACCGTCACCAGATCCAGTTCAACCTCCAGCACTGTGACGGTGTCAACCTCAACAAGCAGTTCTGCCAGCTCCACCTCTTCCACCAGAAGCTTTACGACATCAACCAGCAGCACAGGAACCACTACGACAACAACAGTAGCGGAAGACTTAACAGGCATTCTGCTGCTGGTTTCCGCCTTGGGAGTTGCAATTATGGTTCTTGCGGCTGCTTTACTTGTGTGGTTTTGGCGTTTCAATCGGCCAAGGAAAGTGGTAGTTCCACTAGCATCTTCGTCGCCGCGTCCACCGCCGGCACTCCTGTTGCCACTACCACTCCTCGAGGCTTTCACGAACACACAGCTGCTCATCCCACCCCAGTCTCCCCGTGCACCTCACCCTTCCACATCACATCCACCACTTCCACCACTACCAGACCTATGTCCACCGACCAGCGGCTTGGAGTTTTCCATGACACCTGCCGTGGAAGTGCGTATAGATATACCACAACCGATTCCATATCAGCCTGTAGCATACAGGCGGCCGCCAACACCAGACCTCTACCCGGTTTGTCCACTTGTACAGCGGTTGAGAGAGCTACCATTGCATAGCCCAGTCCAACCATCTCTCCAGACACCAGCTACTGGGTCTCCGGAAAACAGGATGCCAGTCCCAAAACCACCACCTTTGCTGGACGTCAGTCCTCAGATGCTGGTTTCAAGCACCACCCGTTTTGTTTTACCCAGCTTGGTGATGGATGTTCCATGCTTGAACTGGGATGATAGGAACAAGAGGACAGGGTACACGCCAGTCATCTACACATCCATGGATATGACTCCCCAGCTGGAGCGGTTGCCACCATTGACAGTTCTCCTTGCTCCATTTGGCCCACAAGCACACTTGATACGAGGGCCAACTTCTTTGCCACAAGGCCCAGGACTGTCATGTGGAGTCACTCAAAAGCCACGGCCTTTGAGGGTGACACAAGTGCCACCCGAATTCAATGAGCCACCTCCGAACCCTCTACCGGGAATGGTCCGGCCATTCTTCCTGGAACCAGATCCACCACCACGCCCTCCCCTTGCACCACGTCCACCTGCTCCGCCTCACTTCGTTCCACCTGACCCACCTTTGCCTCCTTCTCCTGGGTCTTCGTCAACATGCTCAGATCCTGACAGAAGAGGTGAAAGAGCAAGAGACCGAAGAGACACAGAGCGAGGAGGTGAAAGATGCTGTAGAGCTTCATCAGCTATGTCACGGAGGGATCACCAGAGGGACTGGAGAGACGACTGGAGAGGTGCCTGGCCAGGCGAGAGAAGGGATGACTGGAGGGGTGACCGAAGTGATCGCACTCAACTTTTGGTCACACAAGAGCTTTCTATGTCTCAACATTCTCAACTATCGCCAGCCTCTTCTTCACGTTCCGATCCAGACAGAAGAGCCGAGAGGGCCCGAGATGCCAGACGCTCCAGAGCTACATCAGCTATGGCACGGAGAGAAAACCGGGCAGAGCGGAGAGGCAGTGATCGCACTCCAGGGCCTGGACACTACAACCCACGATATCCCAACAGTTTCGGACGTGTTCCTGCCTTCGCGCAGGCCTCCCCAAGAGTCCGCTAACTCCATCGTACCTCACAAAGAGGGAGACCAAAGAAGTCGTCCGTTTGGGTACACAGGAGACCAAATAGTAGTCCAAACTGCTTTTGTAGTTTGTCAGGATGAACATGTTCTTCGCCTTTGCTGATCCTCAAAGGGGATCGCAAAGTCATAAGCGCAATGCCGCTTTGTCAACCCCGCCAGAATAAATTACTGCTTCTTGTGATGCAGAGGGAGCAACTTAGCTTACTGTCCAACTTTGCTGTTCCACACACCATAGTGATGCGAGTTCGTCCTTGCAACAAGTGAAAGACGTTCAGCATAGTTCAGCTGTTCGATGTGTTTGCTACAATTTCAGCTGTTTGACCATGGGCTGCCCCACTTGTGTTTTTGAATATCTCAGCAACTTTGCCCATCGCGCACCAAGAACAAGAGTCGCCACATGTCTTCAAGTATTGATGTGGTTTTTGGCTGGCTTGGGACGAGCCAAAAGCCAGTCTCACCAGGCCGCCTTCGTTGCTGGAGGGCCACCATCGCCGTCGAGACCCGAGTCAATGAGTTTCAAGCCCAAACATGATATTTCAATGATTGACCTGGTGGGATGTTCGGCATTTGCACAAAGTTGGAGGTCGATTGGGGAACATTTGCTGCACATGTGTGGGGTACAAAGTGCAGCAATGGAGATGGCTTTCAGGCCAGTTCTCTCTCGAAGTTGATTGAAACTTGAGCGAGACTGTTGATATCATTTGGTCTGCTCAAGGGGCATTGATGCCAGCGTGCAATAGTAGAAGAAAGAGGGTTCAGAGTATCCTCAATATCGTACGAATTGAACTTGGAAGTCGATCGCCCGCTCCGCTTGTCTCAGATGTTCGATGTTGGGGTGACAACCCCGCTCCGCCTTGTTTGCTGTGCATGGTCATTGTCGACAGAACGTCACAGCTCTAACCGAGTTCAAGAAAGAGGTGGGTTTGACAACACAACTGGAGTTTCATGCAGGGGAGTTTTTGTTTTTTTACTTTCTCGCTATCTGTGACCCAAGCCACTAGCGTTACTGTCATTGTAGAGAAGGATAGTAGCAAAAATTCGAGGTGTTTTGTGCCACTAAAGAAAAGCAGTTCCTCTGTCTTTGCATTGTGGTTCTTAGGCCATGTTTCCCTCGGCAAGACATTCGACTGCCCAAGATGGTTCAACTATCAGTGCACATCCCTCAGAGACAGGTTGTGCGTAGATGTGCGTAGATTGGACAATGTGTCTTTCTCAATGAGACACTGCATGTAACTTATGTGATTTAAACTTACGGCGTTTCACGTTCTTGGGTTGGATGTTTGTGGACAGCTTGATGCATGCCTCCTTCGAGGTTGTTTCACGGCTCAAAAGTGCCTCAATGATGCTACATTCCAAGGGGTCAGCTTCATGGCATCTCCGCTAGAAGGGCTGTGCCTCTTCAATGGACTCACATCAGTAATTGCTGTGTGGATTCTAGTCGAAGAACAGGGACCCGAACGCTCCGGGCATGTCGCTGCGTGGGATGCAAGAAGCCAACAATTCCTGATTCATGGTGGAAGTGATACAGAATTCAGACCAGATTTGTGGGCGTACGATGTTGAAAGTGGTCCTTGGGATCAGAAGCTGCAACTCAATTCGGCTCCTTCGAAACGTGGAGACCATGTGGCTGTTTGGGATCCAAGTGAACTAGCGTTGTGGATTCATGGTGGTTTTGATGGTGCTACTCTTTTCAACGACCTTTGGAGATATTCGGACAATCGCTGGACCCTCATGGCAGATGGAGCTGGGCTGGCTCCATGTGCTCGAAGCAGTCATGTAGCTGTGTGGGACGCAAGCCGTTCTGCCATGTGGCTTCATGGTGGGCTGAGCAGTGATCTTCAGAGTGATCTTTGGATGTTTGACTACAGAGGATCTTTGAGCTCTTGGGTTCAAATCCCAGGCGGAAATGGGCCTTTGCCTGCAGCACGGGCTCATCATGTGGCTGCATGGGATGACACAAATGCGGCCATGTGGATTCATGGTGGATATGCTAATGGTCGCCCCTTGCAAGCAAAGCAGGCATGCAGCACTAAAGTTGCTAAAGCAGTTCCAGATGAACAAAGACTCCACCAAATCCTCCAACCTAATAGCGATGGCCTCCAACCTACCAGCGGTGACCTCCAACCAAATTTGAATGCATATGATATGTGCGTTTGCAAAGGGGGGGTAGGCCGCTAGGAAGAGACTACTTGCATGCAAGTAGCTACTAGGCTCGAGAGCCGCATAAAAAATATCACGTCAAGCTTCCCATGATTGATTTGGTTCCTAGATGTTCCTAGTTTGTTTCGGGAAATTTAACCTTATGAATGTCCTATGGTGCTCTATGATTGCCTGTCGACGATGCCAGCGTTCAGCATGTTTGACATTCTATGAAAAGCGCAAGTTGAGCGCGGCCACGCAAAAGATCAAAAGCATCGAATCACAATAGGCTTGGCCAGCATTAGGTTCAACGTCCACGATGTGTTTCAGATAAGAGAGAGTCCAGGTAGAGCAGTGAGTGGGCTGAATCCCCACCATGCCACCACATGATTTGTGAATCAGCAGCAACACAGGGAGCATGCAAAAGGAGAGTAATAGGGTGAAATGGTGTTGTCAGATGAGGAGAACAAGTGGGCAGACAATCATAGATTATAGATCATGATGGACAGATTGCTGTGGAGAAGGGACAATGCCTGTGATGTTTTGTTGCTTGGGAAAGTGGGACAGTAGGCATTGGGGGAGCAAAAACTCGAGTTCGTCCATTGAGCTGAGGTTTGTTAACTGACTTGTGGGCCTTTGACACGGCAGAGGAAAAGTTGAGCTGGACTTTGATCTCTGAAGATGGTCCGCAACGAGCTTATCATGTTGCAGCCTGGGACCCCACGAATCAAGCAATTTGGCTTCATGGTGGCTTGGGTGGATTGAATGGTTTGGCCCAACGGGAACTTTGGAGATTCAACATCTTAAGCCACAGTTGGGACTTGATCGCAGACATACCTCCAGAAGAAGGGCCTGTGAGACGCTTCAATCACGCTGCTGCTTGGGATGTCGCCAGTATGTCACTCTGGATACACGGTGGTTATTCTGGAAATATGTGTTTGCACGATTTATGGAGATTCCATGCTACAACAACCTCCACAACCAGGACCATCTCAAGCCTGACTAGTAGTTCCAGCACGATCAGCAGTACCTTCACCTCATCGAGCACATCCACGAGTCGCAGTTCCACAACAACATCGTATACGTTCACATCTACCTCCACTAGGTCTACAAGCAGCACTAGCTCTGCGACAACCACAACCACAAACTCTATTACAGCTACGGCAACGAGTACCACTTCTGCCAGCAGCACCAGTTCTTTTACAACTACATTGTCCAGCTCAACAACCTTTTCCAGTACTGGCACAAGGACCAGTACGACCACATTCAGCACCACGGTGTCTAGCACCAGTTCTTTCACAACTACGACGTCTAGGTCGAGCACCACCTCAGGCACCATCACCACTACCAGCTCTGTCACAACTACAATCTCTAGCTCAAGCACCACCTCAGGCACCATCACC